TATAAATAATTCATTCTTTATAAATAGATTATTTTAAATGAAAATTTTTTAAACCAATGTAATTTTAAGGAAAATTTCCATTTTAACTTTTAAAAAATAAGTTAAATAAATATTAATCTACTATATTTATAACCCCATCATTCCCATGTTTGGAAATGCGGGGCATTTGTCTTACATTCTAAACATTAGAAAAAAAATCCCTTAAAACTATGTTGTTTTGTGAAAAAGTACCAAAAGCAATTTAATCCATTCTTTATATAAAATAGGACAAATGCGTCAATTGCATGATTTCTCTTCCTATCTTCATCATTTTACAGTTAGTTGTTTAATTTATTCTTTAAAAATGTGTTATTTTAGGTTTCTTATTAGAAATTTGTTGAAACAACATAATTTTAAAATAAATTTTTTCTTAATTTTTAAAAAGTAAAATTGATAGACGTATGAGATTGGGTTTTGTTAGCTAAATCTCTAAAAATTAAAAAAAAAAAAATCATAAAACTACGTCATTTTATTAAGGTAACACGAGAAAAAACTAAAATAAACTCAATTCTAATTTAAAAATAGATTATTATAGTCTTTTTCATTAAAAATTTATTAAAACGATGCATTTTTTAGATCTTTTTCCTTCGAAATTTTTAGAGATTTGCATTCACTTACACATAAGTTTTACACACTACACTTACATATCTTTCCAATTTCAATGCTTGAGATTTATTTATATTTTATCTTATTTATTAAATATAATTATCTTTTTTTATCAAAAGAAATGATAAATCTCAACTATTAAAAGTTAAGAGATATATAATCAAAATTTTATATAAATATAATGCATACGACTTGTGTGTAAGTGAATTTTAACTTATATACTGTTTTGTAGGATGTAAACATCTAAAAAAAATTATATTTTAATTAATATTTTAAAAAGAAACTATTGAATTCATTAATCAACTTAAGGGATTTTGTTATCATTAAAATCACTTGGACTTCAACACTTATTTGTCTCTTAGTAAATTAATGTTAATTATTTACGGTAGTTAAAATTATAAATAACATTATTTATATTCACATTTACATAATATTATATATTAATTTTATGTAACATTTTAAATTATATTTTTTGCTATTTATTTTCACCATTAATATTGCCATTTTTTAAAAGTTATTTTAGGAATATTGAATCATTTATATTATAATCTATGTATTGAGATGAATATTACATGAATCACTGTAAATTTAACTGTTGACACGATTTTACATTGCGAATTTTTTGCTACCTACATACGTTTGAAGTGTTGAGAGATGTGTAGCATTGTAGTATATGTCAGTGAAGGCCACTGAATCCACCATCATATTGGCTATAGGCTTTGCCTACACTTCCTATGAGATACAATAAGTCCTACTATGTTTTATGATTTATGTTTTATGATTTTTTCGTGACATTCCGACAATATTTCAATATACATTCTAACTAAATTCTCATGATTATTAATTTTTTTCTATTTATTATATTTTTAGCTATGGAAAATGATGGGTGCACACCCGGATCCCACCCCCCATATAAACAAAAAAAAAAAGACCCATCACCCGGTTCAACTTTTTTTTTTTTATGTGGGGGGTGCACACCCGGGTGTAAGATCCGGATGTGCACCAATCATGGTCCTTTAGCTATACATTGTAACATCAATTTAACTATTTTGCAGGCGCCACATTTGTAGTTTAACTTCAATTCCTTTGCAAGAGTAAGTCGTATTTCTAGTTATTTTCTCATTCCAACTTTATTATATATTAATTTTTGTGTGTATAGTAGATTTTTTGTTTGTATAAGAAACGATTTAGAGCTTCGTTTTTTTTTAATTATTTTTATATAATTATAGTACAAAAATAACATAGATTATAATAACCAATATAATTAATATTGTATTATAACTATACAAAATTATTATAATACAAAAATAAGAAAAGTAAACTAAGAAATGAAAATTCAAAATGTAATTTATATATAAAAAAATAAAAAGTTTATAAATCAATTCTATTTTTATTGTATAAAAAATTTCAAAAAATTAGTTATAAAAAATATAAAAGGAAAATTATAATATTATTTAATTAAGTTTATTTGTTAATATATTTGCCAAGTGTTGGTTGCACGCAGGTCATGATTAATTTGAATGTAAGTTTTGAAACAAAATTTAACAAAATAATAAGATTCAGGGTGTTTGTATATTTAAAGATAGACCCACACCGAATGCAAATAGCACCCCTCCAAATGGGGACGTGGAGAATGGAGATAATGCAGAACCCAAAATTCAGCACTGGGGAATCGAAGGAGTGTCGGGAGTGGTGGTGTTTTTCTCGGACACATGAAAACATGCTAAAGACAGCAAACCGTCTACCTTTCCTTATGTCTTGCATTCTTTGACCACTTTCTTTGCCCAATTTTATGATTTTTTTAATAAACAAATGGAGCAATCATCCATGAAAATAACTTACTGTATTGTATTAATTTGGGATTGTCTATTTTGTACCTTTATGGTACAAGATAGAAAGTCATTATTTAGTGATAATTATAATTTTTTTGAAGAGAATAAAATTTTATATTGATAAAATAACTTTTGATTTTTAATTTAAAATTAACCAATCAAAATCTAAAACATAATATTTATAATTAAAATAAAAAATTAATTTTATCATTTTTTAGATAAAAATAACAACTATTACATAATTAATAATTCTTATTTTGTACAGATACAAGATAAATTAACCCTATTAATTTTGGTTTTGACAGGGCCTCATATATTTGTAATAATTAGAAGATGACGGTGAGGGGCTCAAAATCTATTCAACCAACGGTTCCAAGCCTCATTCTTCTAAATTATTATTGCTATTGTCAATTCGACGGTGCAAATTTTATTAGATTCATCTACTTGTGGAGGTGCTGTTTAAATGTTGAAGATGTTGGAATGCATTGAGTTGGGGACAATCTCCAACTTTGTGGTGGCTGGAAAATTCACCTAACTTTGAGGTGTATGGGACGGTCCCCTCATAAAAAAAAATCCTTTTCATAACTGTGAGTGCTGATTTGAGTTGTCAAAATCAGATTAATCTAACCTAACTAATCACCTAACCTAATCTTCCAAATCCTTTTAAAATTTGAATGGGATTGCCCCAAAACCAGGACCGTGCCTCTAAAAGCATAACCATTTTGCAAGTGGGTTATTTAAATTCGAAAGATTAGAGTAGGGGTCTTATGGTTCCCATACATTCAATTAGAACAAGAACAATACAGGATTCCTTCATCAAAAGTACCAACTTAAGGACCACTTAGAGATTAGAGATAAAAAAAAAATCAGGTCAACCATTATAATTAATACTTAAAAAAGTCGTTACGTACAAAATGTGTTGTATGATAAAACCATGTTTTCACCTACCTAATCTTCTTCTTCTTCTCTCTCAGCCGGCAAGAATCTGTGTGACAAACTCCACTGATACCCTTTTTAACTTTTGCCTAATTCAAACCTTCCTTCAAAGCAAGCATCCATTAAAAACCTTTGGTGTAGCTACCTTCCTCAGACTATAATACCATCTATTCAACCAACTAAACCCCCAACTATAACAACTACTATCACCAAATTCCACCTTTTTCATATGTACAAACCCTAAACATCAAGCAAAGAATATGCCATATGCCAACCAAAATGAACACAGGGAATAAATCTCGTAGCTGTACGGAATTGCCTTTCAATGCACTTTAAGAAAATGATTTGATCAATCCCAAATTGTCACTACAAGGAAATAGGCTTTATGTGACGGTAAAATTAGTCATAAATATTAAAATTTTTGGTCATAAATTATGTTTGTATTTAAAATTTGGTTAATCACTGTCCATTACAAATATTGAGTCACTAATATTAATAGTAACTAATTCTGTATTCATGACAACAAATTATGATTTTAGTGATGATAAAAATAAACACAATTACTAGCACATTTGTAACGATTTTGTGTGTCACAATGATGATTATTTGTGACAAAATAATTAGACACAAAAAAAGCACCTCATTTGTAACTTGTATAACTCGTTACAAAAGAAATTATTTGTGACATTAAATTTGGTTACTAATACTAAAGCATTTGTGTCGTTTCCTTTTAATCACAACTAGAATTATTCGTGACTGAAAAAAATGAAACAAATACTACCATATTAGTCACAATTAGGATTATTTGTGACAAAAAACTTGTTACAATTGTTATCATCAATGATGAAACAAAAATGTCATAAATTAAATGTGTGACAAAGTTTTTAGTTTTAAAAAAATATATCTCAAAAAATAAAAGAAAGGCATTTTTGAAAATTCAATAAACACTAGTATTCAATAATTTTCGTTACTAAAATAACAAATATAAAACAGTCTCTTACAAAATTAGTCACTAGAAATTAAGTATATAATTGAATAAAAAATAAATTTTGAATCAAATAGGTATTTATTAAATAATTCCAATTAAAATTGCTTTTAAGATAATTAAAAATATAAAATTATATCCATAAATTTAAATTCGTTTGATTTAAAAATTTTTGGAATTCAATTATAAAATAATAATCAAATCTTTGAATAAATAAAAATTTATTCAAAATAAAAATATTATTAGATAAAATTAATAACAACTAAGTTTTGTTTGTTTCAACTAAAATAAGTCTAAAAAATAGAAATAACAAAATAACCCTAAATGGAAATGAAATCAATATCATTTTGATCATTGTATCACTTCTGTTTCCTACATTCTTGTATTCATTAACTTGATTATGCAAATTTTCAATCAAATTGTATAACTGATTAGCATCTTTATAGTCTCACCCAAATTTGAAACCCTCTTCTCTAAATCATCAACACGTTTTGTTGCCCATTCTTGAGGTGCTTTAATTAATTTTTGTCCCAAATAGTGAATCGAAAGTCCTCTTATCCCAAGACCTCAGGTATATCTTATTTTGAGTCATCCCAACTCTTGTCTAAAATGTTCTATGAGTGGAATAGGAGTTGAAGAAATCTTTGGCAGAGAATTTGATGAATGATCAGCAGTTCTATTTATAATTGCAAAGCTGTTTTGGATTTTCTTAAGGTTACTGGACCCAATAAATGGACCAATGAGTTCGGTTCTGAAGGATCATTTGACGATCAATGGGTCAATGAATTCTCGAAGTTAAATGTTTCATGATTGGGTGGAAGAATTTGGACATCAGGTAGGTGAAGGGGCTTTAGGGGATGGCTCAGCTGATAATTGGGCAAATGCATATGATGATCAAATGTTTTAAGCTTCTGATAAATTTTTTTTTTTAATTTTTTTTAATTTTTTATGGATTAATTACTAAATTAACATATTGACTCAATCTGCTGGTCAGCAGTGAGTGTAATAAATTGTGTAATGCCAACTTTTTTAGTTGCCTTGCTGTTTTCCCTTTATCTATTATGAATTTCTGTGGTAAAGCATCTACAAAAAGTGAACTAACTCATAGTATCTGTTGTTAACTTATAGGTTCCAAAATGAGCAAGTTGCTGCCAAGCAGAGGTCAGATGCTTCATGGGGTGTGTATGTTTTCTCTGATATGAATCCCTACCTTGGTCATGAGAATCCCATGAAAGAAGGTCAAGAACTGCTTTGGAAAGGGCTTTTGAGTGAAGCTGTGCTTGCTTTAGAGGCTGAAGTTATAAAACACATCCACAATTCTGAAAGTTGGAGGTTGCTTGGAGTAGTCCGTGTAGAGAATGATGATGATCAACAGGTTTTCTTAGCTTTGCACATTAATCTGATAGATTATGGTGGTTGCTGTGTTTTTTCTGCTACCATTGAATGTAGTTGGTTTCTATTACTTTAGTACTGCATTGATAATATCTGAGGAAATGCCACTACTTGGTTCACTTCAAGATCAACTTTATCTCTCAGCTGTGGAGAACCTTCTTGTTGTTGGCAAACCTTTTTTGGATTTCACTGAATAGCTTCTCCTTGGTTGATGAATAGTGTCCGTTTGGGCAGTATTTAAGATTTTCATATATCTATCAGGAAGAAAACTGTCAATATCCTGCATAGAAAGCTAGATAGTAATTCAAACAATGAGTATGAAGTCTAGTTCAACTATCATTATCATTGCCTTAATCTAGAAATCCATTATTTCCTTTAATGATTGCTTCTGGCAGGTTTTATTCAATTTTATTGATCAGTGTTGTTTTATCTAGGAGACACAGAATTTTGACCTGCTGAATGGAATCACATACAGTACATTTGATTGATATATCCGTGCAAGTCATTGCAGTCATGACGCATACACAGGGAGCTGATCCCACAAGTCTGGAGGTGCTTCTTGCTCTGGGTGTGAGCCATACAAATGGTAAGTGATTGCTTTTCCAACTATTTACCCATTTTTTATACTAGTCTTATTCAAAATGCTTTCTGGACAATGGTTATCTCATTTATTCCCTGATGAGGTTCTTCTCTTCATTGTGATGGTGTCTTCAATTTCTTGATCATTATGTTAGAAGGTTATAGGATGTAAATTTTTTTTATTTTTTTATTTTTTTATTTTTTTTAATTTTTTCTTTAAATTAGAGTTGGAGCAGACAGCTGCTTTGAAGTATTTATATTGATAGTTTTGCCATCACCCAAAGTGTGGGGCTCTCACAACATGAGCTCCCTGAATCATTGTATTATGCTGATGTAAGTGCACTTTATGCAGAACCATTTCTCTCTCCTTTTTACTCAACAATAATGCCACTCTAACTGTTTCGAGAAGGTTCTTTGCAGGAAGTTGTGGGGCAATTGGAACGTTTTTTCCTTTTTGTTGGCCAGATGGTCAATTGGAACATTTGCCCCCAAAATTATGATGTTATTGGATAATATTGAATTTTTATAAAAATTATTTGATAGAAGTATGAAATTCACTGATAGGTTTGTACATGTTTTTGCCCTCCATAAGTTCTATGCTGTCTTCCTGTTAGCCTGCTTTAGATTAAAATAATCATTTATCTGGCTATCCTGGTAGGCTCAATGCAGGCTCCAAAATTTGTCTTCGAACTGTGGTTCCCTCTCCTTGATAATGGAATCTGCAACCTTGATTTCTGTGGACCCCGCCATCCTAGCAAGTTAGAATTGAAAATGTTGTTTATGATAGATTATACTGATTCATTTAGGTGATCATGGTTGCTAAAGTTTGAACCATAGATGCTAAGTTCTGTGGATTAAAAGATCATGATTGAGTAGACAATTTCCAAGTAGACAAAATTATTTTTCTTCCTCTTCCTTAATAAAATCAAGGGAAGGTCAAATGAATGTTTACTTTTGTAAGAATCATGGACCTTTTTTCTTGTGGTTCACATTTATTTCTGTTTTTGTTTAAATTAAGGTACTGTTAGGTTGTGTTTCATTTTCTAAAACTCCCAACAAAATCCATTTTGGGGAATTGGTTTGCAGATTGCTGGATTATTCAATGAAGCTATTCAAATGTTACCTGAGGATGCTGACGTCCACATAGTGCTTGGTGTCCTATCTAATTTGTCAAGGGAATATGATAAGGCTATTGCATCTTTCAAGATAGCTTTGAAACTCAAACCTAATATGACTACCCCCTCTGGAACAAGCTTGGTGCAACACAAGCAAACAGTGTGCATGGTACCAAAGCAATTTTGGCCTATC